ATTTGAAGCAGGGAGACACATACAGTTATTTCTATGAAAAGAAATGCTTGTTTTCATTTTATTTTAAAACTTTAAATGTTTCCGTGTAGGCATAAATTACTTTAACAAGAAGGGCCAGGCATGGTAGTTTACACCTATCATCCCAGCACTCTGGAGGTAGAGGCAGGTAGATCTCTATGAGGTGAAGGCTAGCGTGGTCTACATAGTGAGTTCCAGGCCAATCAGGGCTACATAGTAAGATCCTGTATCAAAATAATAACAGTTTTTAAATCATTTTGTTTATTTTGCTTTGTCTACGTTTTCTTTGAACGGTGCTGCCAAGGTTTCAAAAGGGTAAGTCATGAGATTGGCAAGATGGGTAGGAGCCCAGACCATAAGGGCCTTTAAAGATCTGGACTATGGTACTTTTCAAAGAAGAGGCTGATCTGAAGAAAGCAGCTCAGTTCTTTTTCTTACAGAAATATCATATCCACTAATTTTCTCTGCTTTCCCCTTTGACCTTTTTTTCCCCAATGGCCTCTCTTCCTCCCTGTCTCCTACCCATATCTAGTGTCACATGCTAGGGGAATCCAGTGGCAGATACGCAAGCTCCTATTTGCAAAGTTCATTGGAATTGAAAATGTATAAAAGCATTTCTTTGTTCAGTGAGTCTTTTAGAATAGAGAGCAGCTTTGTTGCTTTCTCAGATGCTCTGGAAAAGACTGAAAGAGGATTGAGAGCAATTAAAAAGAAAGGGATCACAACTTCGTCAAACACTGCGAGGGAAAAGTAACACGCGAGAAACCTACAGTTAGAGTCTTCAGAGACATAGCAATGATTTCAGTGTTTGAGGGCTGAAGAGATGGTTTAGTCAGTAAAGTACTTGCTGTACAAGCATGAGGACCTGAGTTTGGATCCCCAGCACCTACATAAAAGGCCAAAGTGGCAAAACAAGTCTGTGACCCCAGAGCTAGAAAGACAAATCCCTGGAGCTCATTGGTCAGCCAGTCTGATCAATTGGCGAACTCCAGATTCAGAGAGAGACTGTCTCAAGGGAAAGAAAGCAACTGAGGAAGACATCCTATGTCAACCTCTGTCTTATACACACAGGTGCGTGCACACACACAAAGACGTCAATGTTTGGATATTACTCAGATCATGATTAAAAAAACCAAGGTGTACAAAAGGGAAAGTCAGGTGATGGAGAGATGACTCAGCAGTTAAGAGCACTGGCTGATCTTGCAAAGGACCCAGGTTCAGTTCCCAATACCTATATGGTGGTTAACAACCATCCATAACTCTAGATCCAGGAGATTCATGCCCACTTCTGGCCTCTGTGGGTATTGCACAACACAGGTGCACTTACATACAAGCAGGCAAATGCTCATACACATAAAAAAAATTAAAAACAAATTTTAAGTGAAATTCACGAGATAACTGAATATTTAAAAGCTGACTTGAAGATATAATGACTTAATTACATTAAATTTGATAATGGTAATATAATTGTGCTTTCTAAAAATATTTTTTGATTTATTTTTATTTTGGGGTATGAGTATTGTGATTGCATATAAGTACACCTATGCCGGGCAATGCCCCCAGAGGCCAGAAGAAGGTGTTGGGTCCCCTGGAACTAGAGTTACAGTTAACCACTATATGGGTGCTGGGAACTGAATCCAGGTCCTCTGCAAGAGCAGTCAGTGCTCTTAACCACTAAGACATCTCTCCAGTCCCTAATTGTGCTTTTGAAAAATGTCCTTGGGGGGGGGGGGCTGGAGAGATGGCTCAGCGGTTAAAAGCACCGACTGCTCTTGCAGAGGACCTGGGTTTGATTCCCAGTACCCACATGGTGGTTAACAACCATCTGTAGCTCCAGTTCCAGGGGATTTGCCACCTTCTTCTGACCTCCACAGGCATTGCACGACATGGGTGCACTTACACACATACAGGCAATATAGTCATACACATAAAATAAAAATAATAAGTAAAATATTTTTTAATGTTCTTATTTGGTGACTGGGGAGATGGTTCAGTGGTCAAAGTGCTTGCAGTGCAAGGAAGGGAAACTCCAAACAAGAAGGACAGAGCTTGGATCCCCAGAACCCACATATATGCCAGGTAGGCAAGTGGCTCATCTGTAATTCCAGCCTCAGAAGGCAGAGACAGGAGATTCCCTTAGCAAGCTGGCTAGAGAGGCTAGCTGAATCAGTAAGCTCTGGGTTTAATTGAAAGAGCATGCCTCAAAAAGAATAAGTGGGAGAGTGTTTTGAGGAAGATTCCCAACATTAAACACAGGCCCCAAAATATACAGGACACAAATTTGCCCACATATGCATGCATACACACACGTGCACACCACACACACCACATGAAAGAAGAAAAAAAATTCTTTTATTTTTTTAGAGATACATACCAAAGGGTTTGTGGACAACATGTTATGCTCTCTGGGATCTCTACCAAAATAATATATTGGGAAGTAGAAGGTAGAGATAAAAATGAAATGAGGTTAATGACTGAGTTGACAGGAGAAACTATGTGAAGAGTTCAGGTATTTGCTATTCTGCCATCTTCATACATTTGAATTAAAAAATTTTCTTATCTTTTTAGTTTTTTAGATGGGGTTTCAGGCAGACCAGGGTGGCCTGGAACTCCATTAAAGCTAAGGATGACCTTGAACTTCTGATACTCTTGCCTTACCTCCTGAGTACTGGGATTAAAGGGTGCACCATCAGGCCTAGTTTGTGCAGGGCTTTGGATTGAGCCCAGGACTTTGTACATACTAAGCAAGCACTCTACCTATTGAACTATATTGCAATCTCCTGAAAATTTCTGAAATAAATCTTCCTTTTCGGAAAGAGAAAGGTTATATATAAAATTTCACAGGACTTCTACTTTAGTGAAAATAGAGGAATGAAGAAAAAGTGGTAGGGTAGAAGAGGCTAGCATGGAGTTTGGACGTATGACAAAAGAAGGTAGGGTCCAGATGGAGGGAGTGGGAAGAAAGATGAAAGATAATGGCAAGCATTAATGTGTGAGGGGGAGAGAATGGAGAGGGGAAATGAACCCACTGCTTCCCCCCTCTCCTTCCACTTTTTCTGCATGTACTACTAACCCTTCATCTCTGTAGATGGAAAAAAAAAAACGTCTTGGGAACTTAGCAACCAAACTGTGAAACTCAAGTTTGGCCCACAGGATAAAGACTTGCATTTTCAACAAATGCTTCAGGGAAACTGGATCTCTGGAATCCCCTGTGAAGCCCTGAACCCAATCCCTCAAAGGGGCTTGGCATTTCTGTCACTAACCTTTACTTTGCCAGACTATGACCAAACCACCCTACCTTGCAAAGCCTGTGTGACAGCAGTCCATTGTTTCAAGACAGGAAAAAATAAAGGAGGTGAGAGCTATTTATTGATTTCCTTTAATGTAACTGTGGAAACGTGCAAATTCTGGGGATCTCTTGGGTAGGAAAAAAAAGGGATTTACCAGCCAGCTATGTCTTGACAGGCATCTGCTTTAAGAAGCTCTAACCCTTTGAATCGATGTTCTTGGAATTTATATTCACTGAACAACCTTCTGATTTTTAATTGGGCTCCACTCAGAGGGGAAAAAAAAATCAAAGCATTTAATGGTTGCCATGAATTATACAATCTCCTCTTTATAGTTTTGTTTTTTATCATCAATTTTAATAAATTGATATTTTGCTTTCCAAGTCTCTGAAAAGCCAATTATTTAGAAGAACTAGGCCAACAAAGATCTGATTATCCATCAGATCATTAGTAATGAGCAAACTAATAAATTTAAATGTTAGGGACTAAAATTTAATCTTTAAGGTAATGATCAGACCATGGTTTTGAACTGGAACCACCAAAACAGTAACCCTATGACTGAGTCACCATGAGAAGTAACTAGACAACTCCTCTGCCTGTACATTCTTGGCCAGATCCCTCCCAGCAAGGAGAGATTAAAAATGCTGGTTAACTAACCAGGCTTACTCACCTAGAGCCTGTGTCTGCTCATACATAACAAGGTCTTTGAGAGGTTGAGACCAGCCATGCTGAGAAAAATCATTCTGAAGCAAATAAGGTCATCTGCAGGCCCTGAGTCTTGATGTTGGTGAAAATATTTCCAGAACATGGCTGTGTCTTTCTCTGTCACTTCTGATATAAAGAGGAAATGGGAAGAACTCAAGCAACTGGACCCACATTCTCCCACAGAACAAGTTGTGGCAAGTCAGTTCCAATCATTTTCCTTCCGTGTTCCAGTTGCAACCCACCAGCTAAAAGAAAGTCAAGTGCCCAAGGCCTTCTAGGGAACTATGTTCCCACTTGTAACTGGTAGAACCTTGCTCTTTGAACCACAACTACCCAGAGGCCTGCTGACATCCATTCAGGCCTACCTCTAACTGGCATTATCTCGGCCCTTGCAGCCTACAGGGTTCACCACACAAGGACCTTACTCATAAACTGCACTGGGAAAATACTAGGTGGGAAGACACAAGGCAGCGCATGTTAGCCTGAGAAGTGAGAACTGAACCAAGCCTCTGCGTCCCTCAAACACAGGGTAAGCTCTTGTGGGGCGGGGGGCAAGATCTCTTAATGCAAATTAGGCTCTGGTCCGCTTATAGTATGAGCACGTCTTGGCAGGAATTACAGTTTTAAATGAGTAGGAAGAGGATTCTGCCTACGGGTTCCAAGGATATGAAGATAAGCCTGAAGATCTGTAGCAGTGAGAGAAAGGTGAAGGAGTCGAGTCATCAAGCCAGGAGAGGCGTACAGGTCAGTGGGAAGGGGGCCCAGAGGCCAATGGAGGGGGCTAGACAAGGCGGAAAAGGCCAGATCCAGGTAGTGCAGGCACCCTAGCTTCCCGCCACGCCTCTCGGCAGTCCTGGAAGCCCCGCCCAGCCGGCGCTCACCGCGCGCCTCCGGTTCCCTGGCGTCGCGCGGTCCTCTAGTTCCGGCTGTGGCGCGCGGGCGGAAAGTTTAAGAGAACGGACCGCGGCTGGCGAGGGGCCCGGGTGAGTGGGGGAGGCCTCGGGCTGGGGTCTGCGTTTCGTGAAGGATTGCGGGAAAGAGCAGCACAGGGCGGCAGCGGGCCTTCGCTGGAGTTTGAGGGGCGGCCGGGTTCCTGGAGGTCTCCGGGACCTGCTCTCGGCCTGCCCTCCCTCTGACCCGGTCTCAGCACGATTTTTACCCCAGGCCAGGCCTCCTGTGTCCCCTCTTCTAGAGACTTACATATCTCACATGTGTTTAACTCATTTTAAAGGTGAGCGTATATCCTCCAGTTGCAATCCAACTGTAGAAATTCTGCATTTCCAGGCTAATCGTTTAGATATAATATCTGAACTCAAGAGGGACTTACTAGGGCAAGTCAGGACGACAGGAGAGCCCGGTTATGTGGGGACCTAGAAACTAAAGTGGAATTACTCTTTGAGAGGGCAACTCCTGGGGCTCACATTGCTATGAACGAGCTAATTATCACCTTCAGGAAAGAAATATAAATGTAGGTAATGGAGGCTTGGCTTTTAGAGCAATCAGGTGGCCAAGTTGTTTCTTAGGAGAAGATTGTTAGTAAGAAGACCCTAAGTTACCTGAAGCATTGTTTGTAAAATGGTACATACTGGAAAGGTGTGGTGATGGTGGGGTTGCATGGGGAAACAGAGTCAATCCAAGTGAAAAAATACACAGTGTTCTCTCAAAATTGCTAGACTAGTAGGCTGAGGTTTTGTTTTTAATCAGGCCTAGACTGCTTGAGTGAACCGTCCTACATGAATGTTCAGTTCTTTTATCCCTGTGCTTAAAACCTGAGTACTAAACTGGATTGTCACAACTTTGCCACAGTTGAGAAAGTACACTTGGGACTGGACACAAATGCATCAGTCAGGAGAAAGAACCAGTTCTGCAGGTGTCTTCAGAGAAAGCAAGACTGACAGCTGTGGTCACACACTGCAGTGTTAACAGCAGATTTCATGGACTGGAAGTGCTTGTTCATACCTGATCTAAGTAAGCTGTTTCCTTTTCTAAGAGATAAGGGCAGTACTCTCTGCGATCTCCAACTTTTTGAAAAGTGTAAGGACTCCATGCATAAATGGTACTACCACAGAGCTGGATAAACTATACCCAAGCAAAAGTGTAGGGATCCCTGGTGTCTCTGCTTGAATAAGAAGGAAATGTGTTTCTGGTGGTCATAGTTAAAATTTATAATGTTTTGGCCTTATGTAGTGGTGCAGGCCTTTAATCCCAGCACTTGGGAGGCAGAAGCAGACAGATCTCTGTGAGTTCTAGGCCAGCCTGGTCTACATAGAAAATGCCAGGCCAGCTGGGGCTACAGGGAGACCCTATCTCAAAAAGACCAAAAAAAAAAACCACCAAACATTATATATATATGGTGTTTCTTACTAAAGAATTAATGCTGCCGGGCATGGTGGCACATGCCTTTAGAACCAGCACTCAGGAGGCAGAGGCAGGTGGATCTTTGTGAGTTCAAGGCCAGCCTGGTCTACATAGTGAGTTCCAGGACAGCTGGGGCTACAGTGAGATCCTGTCTCAAAAAGACAAAAAAAAAAAAAAAATTTGCTGTATGTAGTGACTAGGGGTAGTTTATTAGTCGTGATCAAATATTTGTTGAGCACCAGTCATTGTAGTTCTAAGGAAGCATTGATGGGCAAAATCTGGGATGATCTTTGCCCTTAGAGAGCTTATAGTCTAATGTAATGTACTTGAACCTTCCTTCTTGAACAACACAGCTGAGGTCCAGAGAGGAAATTTAAAAGCCGGCATAAATAGAAGGAGGCCTGTTTGGAGACTAGTTAGAGATGTGGAAGAGGAACTAGTGGAGTTAAGAATGTGAGCAGATATGATTTGTATGTATGTATAAAATATCATCATGAAACCCATTATTTTATACTCTAAAAAATTAATAATAAAGACCTCAGGCTGAGGATGTAGGTCAGTTATTAGAATGCTTGCGTAGCATGCACAAAGCCCTAAGTTTGTTCTGCAGCACCTCATAAACACATGAGCTCAAGTATATCAACTTGGTACTGTTCTCTTTATGCAGCCTTCCCGCCCTCCCCTTGAGACATGATCTTAAATACCCCAGCTAGGCCTCAAATTCATTGTATAGCCAAGATTGACCTCGAACTTCTGATCCTTCAGCCTCTACCTCCCAAGTGCCAAGATTATAGTCATCATACACCACCATGCCTGACTTACAGTGTGATCTTTATGAATTTATAAGTAGTATATACTCATAATGTATATATAAGTATACAGTGTGTGTGTGTATATATATATGTATATATATAAAAAATCCTGTGACCTGCTTTTTTTAGTTACTCATGCTATATCTGTAACTATTTCTCAAACTTGTATCATTTATTTATAGCTTATGGAGACTCACAGTTCTGTTGTCATGCTTATTAATAATTGTAAATGTTTCATTTGTATTACAATTTTTTTCAGCCTTTCCATTTTTAAATACTTTTAAAATATTTTATTTTACTTTTTTATTTTATGTGTATAAGTGTATTGCCTGCATGCGAGTGCTCCCATGTTGTGCAATGCTAGGGCATTGGATCCCCTGGAACTAGAGTTAAGGATGGTTAGTAGCAGCCATGTGGGTGCTGGGAATCGAACCCCGGTCCTCTGCAAGAGCAGTCAGTGCTCTCACCCACTGAGCCATCTCTCCAGCCTCCCCATTTTTATATTTTGCATTTGCTTTAATGAAACAAGGCTACTAAGCCACAAAGTAGAGACTTGCACTAATAGTGCTGTATTAAGATACTAGTAAAAAGAATGGTCAGTTGTCAGATAATCTATACTGTGTGACAATTAGAAAGATTCTTCAGTAAACTATTAGAGAGGTAATGTAGGAGTGTTTATTCAGTTATGTAAAAATGGAAAGTGTGGTAGTCAAGGACTACCTGATTTTAATGCATTGATGGGTGCACCATTAATATATGGGTGGTTCTAGGAGGGATCCTCACAGTGAGCTAGGCTTCTTGCTTTCTCCCTTAATTTTCTGGGGCTTACCTCTACATATTTCCAGGATATTGGTTAAAATTGTGGTGAAAAGAAGTATTTTTTTCCTTCCCAGGATATAAGATCTTGTTTCCTTTCCATAGTGTTTCTCTATTTGTAACTGCCTGTTGACCTTCTGAGTGGGAGCCTGAATTGTTTCCATCATGCCCACGGTGGTGGTAATGGATGTATCCCTTTCCATGACCCGACCTGTGTCTGTCGAGGGGTCTGAGGAATACCAGCGGAAGCACCTGGCAGCCCACGGCTTGACAATGCTGTTTGAGCACATGGCCACAAACTACAAGCTTGAATTTACAGCACTCGTGGTTTTTTCATCACTTTGGGAGCTGATGGTCCCTTTCACAAGAGATTATAACACCCTACAGGTAGATACTGACAGGAATAAATTATTGTATATGTATTTTGATATATACCTTATTGGAACATTATTGGAAAGAAAATAATATTATGATATAGTATTGATTTTAGAACTCAGATTGTTTAATAACTGTGTAGGTATATAATAAGTGTAACTGTAAAACAAAATTCTCAAGATCTATGTGTTGCTTTGGTAAAGTTATGAGATGAGAGTTGCTTTATTTTCTTGATGTTTCTGGAACGATCTGGAAAGGTGAGATGTTATTCACCCAAAGTTACTAATCATCACGGCCCAGAAGCTGGTGTGTGTGTGTGTGTGTGTGTGTGTGTGTGTGTGTGTGTGTTGTTTTTGTAGCCCCAGCTAGCCTGGAACTCACTATGTAAACCAGGCTGGCCTCGAACTCACAGGGATTCACCTGCCTCTGCCTCCCAAGTGCTGGGATCAAAGGCGTGCACCACCATGCCTGGCCAAAGTTCAACATCTTGATGTTTAACACTTTATTTCTTTCTACCTTCCCTTAAAAAACTGAGGGGCTGGAGAGATGGCTCAGCAGTTAAGAGCACTGGCTGCTCTTCACAGAGGATCCAGGTTTGGTTTCCAGCATCTATACATAGTGGCAGACAATCATCTATAACTACATTTTCAGGGGATCTAGCACCCTCTTCTGGCCTCTGCAGGCATGGCACACATGGGTGCACTTATATACATTCAGGCAAAACACTCATGCACATAAAAATAAATAAAGTTTTTTAAAAACATTGTTTTTGGTCTTTTTGAGACAAGGTCTCCTGGTAGTCCCAGCTGGCCTGGAGCTCACAAAGTAGACCAGGCTGACATTGAACTCACAGAGATCCACCTGCCTCTGTCTCTCAAGTGCTGGGACTATAGGCATGCACTACCATGCCTGGCTACCATCCTTTTTTTCAAAAAAAAAAATTTAGGAGTGTTTTGCCTGCATGTAACTAAGTACATTCATATCATGCAAAGCCTGTGGAGGCCGTTGAAGCCCCTGGAACTGGAGTTACGGATGGTTGTTAGCTGCCATGTGGGTGCTGAGAATCAAACCCAGGTCCTCTGAAAGAGCAGCAAGTGTTCTTAACTGCTGAGCCAGCTCTCCAGCTCCCAGATTTTGTTCTTGAAATAATTTCCTATGTGGTTTTAGAAGTTGTGCAGTGCCTATTCAGAGGTCAGAAGAGGGTGTCAGATCCCCTAGAACTGGAATTACAGACAGTTGTTAGCCACCATGTGGGTGCTGGAATCAAACCCAGGTCCTCTACAAAAGCAGTCAGTGCTCTTAACCACTGAGCCATCTCTCCAGCTCCCCGCATACCCTTATTTTTAAAAACATTATTAAAGCTGTGTGGTGACACACCTTTTATCCCAGTACTCAGGAGGTAGAGGCAAACGTATAGCTGTGAAATCAAGACCAGCCTGGGATGATCTATATAGTAAGTTCTGTGGGTCTACATAGTGAAAGCCTGTCTCAAAAACAAAAAAAACCCCACATTATTATAAAATAATTCAAAATCTTATTTACTCTCTGGCAAATAGCTTTGATTTGCATATTCTAGGATCTACTACTTAAACTTTGACCAGTAGGTATTCTCTTCCAAAGGCTTTGCTGTGGTAATGCCAAAGAATTTACTTTTAGACATGCAATGCTTACTTAGCATAGTACCATGCCCACAGTGAGCAGTTAATAAGTATTTGTGGAATTGAACTGAACAGTTTAATGATTCTAGGATCAATATAGCTTGAAATTTTAAAAATATATGTAATACATTTTATTAAGATGTTACTTTTATTATTTCACTTTTTAAAATTTTATTTTATTTTTATTTTATGTGTATGCATATATTGCCTGCATGTAGGTTAGTGCACCCATGTCATACAGTGCCTGCAGAGGACAGAAGAGGCTGTCAGATCTCCTGAAACTGGAGTTAAGGACAGTTTTTAGCTGCCATATGGGTACTGGGATTCAAACCTGGGTCTTCTGCAAGAACAGTCAGTGTTCTTAACCACTGAACCATCTCTCCAGCCCCTATTATCTCAAAAAAAAATTTTATATTTTATTATTTTTATGTATATGTATTGCCTGCATGTAGGTAAGTATACCCATGTCGTGCAATACCCACGGAGGACAGAAAAGGCTGTCGGATCCCCTGGAACTGGAGTTACTGACAGTTATTAGCTGTCATGTGGGTGCTGGGATTCGAACCCAGGTATTATGCAAGAATAGCCAGTGTTCTTAACTGCTGAGCCATCTCTCCAGCCCCTATCTCAAATTTTTTAAGAGACTCAAAACCTTTTTTTTCCCTAAGATCTCTTTAGGGGGTTTTGAGACAGAATCATTGATTCAGGCTATCCTTAAACTCTCAATCTTCTTCCTCAGCTTCCTGGATTGAGTTCTGGGATTATAGGCATCTGCCACCATGCCCAGCTGGTACTTGCTTTCTTATAAGTTACTCAGCAGTTCTGAAATTTAGAGAATTGCTTTGTATGGAATTGAGGAGTAATGGTTAACAGAACCCTGAAGTCAGGCTGCTTGGGTTCAAATCTAGGTTCCGCCACCTCTAGTTTGGGAAAGTTACTTAATTGGTCTGTACCTTAGTGCCCTCATTTAAAAGAAATAATGATGTGGGGCTAGAGAGATGGCTCAGCGGTTAAGAACACTAGCTGTTCTTGCAGAAGACCAGGGTTCGAATCCCAACACCCACATGACAGCTAATAACTGTCAGTAACTCAAGTTCCAGGGGATCCAACAGCCTCGTCTGTCCTCCATGGGCATTGCACGACATGGGTGCACTTACCTACACTCAGGCAATACACACACATAAAAATAATAAGTAAAATATTTTAAAATAAAAAAAGAAATAATGATGTGGTAATTAAATGCATATAAAGTTCCTGGAATGGTCTTTAGGATATGGATAATGTTTGTCATTTTCGTGATGTATTTTAACTTAATATTTTCCTTCAAGGTCAACTTAGAAAGATAGACATAGGAGACTGTCTACTCTCACCCAATAAGAAGATGCAATAAAAGGATAGTAATTTAATTATCCTTTGTGGTTGAAAAAAATCTTACAGTCTTTATTTAAGAACCTATGTTTTAGGGGTGGGTCTAAGAAGCTCAGTGTCCTCTAACGTTTATAGTTTATACTTTGAACAGTTTGTGTTGTTATCTAATAACAAGTGAAGAATAATGAGTTCTTATATTTCTCATTCAATAAGGAAGCACTGAGTAACATGGATGATTATGACAAAACCTGCTTGGAGTCTGCATTAGTTGGTGTTTGCAATATTGTTCAGCAAGAATGGGGTGGTACAATTCCCTGCCAGGTAATGATTGATTCTTTCTTTCCTTTTTTTTTCGCCCCCTTCTGAGACAGTGTCTCTGTAACTCCAGCTGACCTAGAACTCTTTGTGTAGACCAGGCTCCTGTGGCTCTCACAGAGATCTCCTAATCCCAGGCGTGAGCCATCACTCCTGGCATGATCAATTCTTTTATATATTTTTTTTTTTTTGGACTTTTTGAATCGGTCTCCCTGTAGCCCCAGCTGTCCTGGAACTCACTATGTAGACCAGGCTGGCCTTAACTCACAAAGATCCGCCTGTCTCTGCCTTCCAAGTGCTGGCATTAAAGGCATGCGCCACCACGCCCAGCGATCAATTCTTTTTTCATTGCCCTAGGTTTAAAGCATTAGCCCCTGAGTGCTTTGATGTTTCTTCAGCTCTGACCCAACATGCATTATCATGTCTACAAACTCCATTTTACACTCTTGGTATCTTTTTTTTTTTTTTTTAAGTCACTGAATCACTCTAATCATACTACACTAATCTAATCGATATCATAGTAATGTGCTCATAAAGCAGCAAAATTATGCCTCAAGGAAAGCATCTTCCTAGTAAATAGACTTATTGCAAGCTAGTACTGTTTGTATAAAAGACAAAGTGCTCACAGTGGAATTTAAGAATTGCACTCCCTGGAAGAACTGATTATAATTTTGGATGATAGAATTGTAAACATCAGTACAATAAAGTCTTTATTACCTCAATGAAGTATTTATTCAGCAAACTTCTAACCATCTCACCTCTGAAGAGAGCTGAGTCTAAAATTGAGGAGATGACTATTTTAGAATCTCTCTCTCTCTCTCTCTTTTGGTCTTTTTGAGACAGGGTCTCCCTATAGCCCTAGCTGGCCTGGAACTTACTATGTAGACCAGGCTGGACTTGAACTCAGAGATCTGCCTAACTCTGCCTCCCAAATGCTAGAATTAAAGGTGTGTGCCACCATGCCCAGCAGACTCTCTTCTTCCTTATGTGGTATCCACACTGGTTCCATATTAACATCAAATCAAATCAGAGTAGTAAGAGGAAAATAATTGGCAGTTTGCTATAAACAGATACTTTGAGAAGTAGCAGCATATTTAAAAGGAGAAAACAGATAATAGCTAACAGGTAATAGTCTGCACCAGAAGTTGGCAAACGTTTTCTGTATTTTAGGCTTTGCAGGTGCTTGTAACAGTTATTCAACTCTGCTGTTATGAAAGCAGCCATAAGACAATAAATGAATGGGCATAGCTATGTTACTTTATTTATTAAAAAAAAGATTAGAAATGGTCTGTGGGCTACAGTTTGCCACAGTGTATGATGTATGACTTTTTAAAATATTATTTTTATTTTACATGCAGGAGTGTATTGCCATATAAGCATACCCATATTGTGCAACGCTCAAGGAGGTCAGAATAGTGTTGGGTTTCCCTGGAACTGGAGTTATGGACGGTTGTTAACCGCCATGTGGATGCTGTGCTGGGAATCGAACTCAGGTCCTCTGCAAGAGCAGCCAGTGCTGAGCCATCTCTCCAGCCCAATGTATGACTTTTTATTAGGGTCAAGTAAAAGATCCTCAGTAGTATCAGTGACATCATTGGTATTTTTTTAATTTTTTAATTCAAAATAAAATTGTGAAGCTAGGGATGGTAGTACATACCTATAATCCCAGTGCTTGGGAGGCTATGGCTGGAGGATTGCCAATTCCAGATTAGCCTGGACTACATGACAGTTTCCAGTCAAACAAGTGAGACCCTGTCTCAAATAAAACTACAGGGGCTGGAGAGATGGCTCAGCAGTTAAGCAGCTTTTGCAGAGGACCCAGGTTTGATTCCTAGCACCTACATGGCAGCTAACAACCATCTGTAACTCCAGTTCTAGGGGATCCAATGCCCTCTTGTGACCTTCTCAGGCATTGCACAATTCAGGTGCACTTATACACATGTAGGCAATACACTCATACACATAAAATAAAAATAATGAAACAATAGCAACAGAAAGTAATAAGACTTAGGTTGCCTAGGAGTGAGGGAAGAGTAGAGATTGCCTGTAAAGGAGAGGATATAGGAAGTGGGGGAACTGATTGTTATATTGATTGTGGGACTGCTTACATAACTGGATGCAATGGTCAGAACTTGCTAAAAAAGCTCAGGATTTTTGCATGAAAATTCTATCTCAAAAAGTCAACTTTGAAAAACACATTTTTTTCATTACTGTGAAAACCATACTGTTTGAACTCTTTGGTTCTTGAAGACCCTGCACTTCTCTAGATGGTTAAATCAAACACTTTAGTAAACATTTGTTAAAGATGACAGCAAAGGGGACTAGAGAGATGGTTCAGTGGTTAAGAGCTCTTGTTGCTCTTACAGAGGACCCAGGCTCTATTTCCAACCCACATGGCAGCCTACAGTCAGCCACCTGTAACTCTAGTTCCAGGAAATCCAGTACCCTCTTCTTTCCTCTATGGGCACCAGGCATGCATGTGATGCAAATACATACGTTCTAGCACTAATGTATACACATAAAAAATAAAAATAAATCTTTAAGGGGCTGGAGAGATGGCTCAGCAGTTGAGAGCACTGACTGCTCTTGCAGAGGACCTGGGTTCGATTCCCAGCACCCACATGGCAGCTATGAACCGTCCTCAACTCCAGTTCTAGGGGAATCCAAAGCCCTCTTCTGACCTCCGCAGCATTGCACAACATGGGTGCACTCACATACATGCAGGCAATATACTCGTACACATAAAATAAAAAGAATATATTTAAGAAAAAAAAATCTTTAAGAAGACAAAATGTTTTTTTCAAAAAAAATTTTTTGGGGGCTGGAGAGATGGATCAGTGGATAAGAGCACTGGCTGCTCTTGCAGATCTAGGTTCAGTTTCCAGCACCCACATGGTGGCTAACAACTGTCTGTAGCTCTAGTTCCAAGAGATCTGAGACTCTCTTCTGACTTCTGCAGGCATTGCACACACAGGTGCACTTACATGCAGGCAAAATACTCATACACATAAAATACAAATAAATTAAAAAATTATTTTTATATGTGTGTGCATATGTGGGTATGCTCACATGCATTCAGGTGCCAGTGGAAGCCAGAAGAGAGAATTGGATGTCCTGGAGCTAGAATTTCAGGCTCAATGTGTGTGGTAGAAACACAACTCAGGCCCTCTGAAAGAGCAGCAAGCACTTGTAACTGCTGAGCCTTCTCTCGAGCCCCTATAAAATGCTTTTTGATTAATTCTTTTTCAGAAAAAAAAATCAGTACCTTCATAGGCATTATTTACTTTGATAAATTCATGCAAATGAAATCTGATTTCCTAATAACAAACTGAATAAATGAAGTTTTATTGTCAGTATCTTCTACTACTCAGCAAGTAGAACCGTTTCATTTGCTCCTCTTCTGAGGTCCAGGGGAGTAACTCAGAATGGATCTTAAGAAGCAGACCTGTGCACCTTGCAGACATCTGCCTTTTGTTTTAAAAGAAAAGAAAAAAAAAAAATCTGAATTTGAAATGAACTATGCCCAGAGGGCCTAAATCCACTTAGACTTGCTAAGTGAATTAGATCCAAAACACTGTATGAAAAGTGTTGGTTATTAGTGACTGTTTTTATAACCAGTTATTATCAAATTTATTTAAATGTGCAATTTTTCTTTTTTTAAATACTTTTATTTTTTTAGAACTTGATACAATGTATTTTGATCATATTTCCCATACCCCAGCTCCTACCAGATCCACTCCCTCCCATCCACCCACCCAACTTCATGTCCTTTTTTGTTCTATATTGAGTCAGTATGTGTTGTCCAGTAATCTTGGTTGTGGAACCTGACCTGGATTGTGGTCAAGAAAGGGATCTTAAAGAAAACTGACTCTTCTTGTCCCAGCACCTACCAAATGCCAATAGCTCTCAGTTAGGGACAGAACCTCATGCCTACCTCCCTTTCCCATGCTGGGATTTTGCTTGGCTTGAGCTTGAGTAGGTCTTGTGAATACTGCTGGAACTGCTGTTAGTTTATATGTGCAGCTGCCCTGCTGTCTGGAAAGCACTGTTTCCTAGTAGTCATCTACTACCATCTGCTCTTACAGTCTTTTTACCTGTTCATCCACCATGATCCCTGATCCTTGAGGAGAGGGGTATGACATAGATGTCCTTTTTCAAGCTGAGAACTCCAACATCTATTGATCTCTGCACATTGACAAGTTGGGGATCTCTAATAATTGCATTCTACTGCAAGAAGAAGCTTCTCTTATGAGGATTAAGAGATACACTAGTCTACAGGCACAGCAATAAGTCATTAGGAATCATTTTAATACCATGTTGATTTGGTAGACTGTTAGTAGTAGATTTGCCCCTGGAGCCTGTAACCTATCTAGTAAATGTGGAATTTTGTTAACATTGTTAACCAACCAACAAAAACCAGCATCTGTGGCTAGGAAGATGGCTCAGTGGGTAAAGGTACTTGTGTACAGGCTGGCAACCTGAGTTCAATCCATGGAACCCATACAAAGATGTAAAGAGAAAATCAACTCCACAAAGTTGCCCTCTGACTTCCACATGTGTACTGTAACAAGTGTACCCCAATACACACATCATGCATACACAGTTTTTTTAAAAAAAAAAACTAGCATCTGTAAAAGCTAGTATCAGAAGTAAATCACTATATAGCAGTTGTTGTTTCCTAGAAGAGAAAATTGCCTTATAGTCAGTTGACCACCTCTTCCCAAAAGATAAGATCCCACTCGGGGAACATGTTAGGCTATAGATAGAAGTCACTGTATTCCACCTGGTGCAGCTACTTAATACCTGAGCTATTGATGGCCTTTATTATCAAGTAACTAAATTAGGCTAAAGAGAACAAAAAATAGTCTTTGGATGTTTGGGAAGTCTACCCAGGGTATCACTATCACCCTGAAGCTGTGGGGAAGAGAAACTGGTTTTCCCAGGACCATCTATTGTATTTTATTGGCTTTTTCAAATTACAGATTAAGTATGTGGGGGGTTTGCATGTTTTTGTTTTGAGACAGGGTCTGGTCTGGAACTCACTATATAGACCATGCTGGCCTTGAATGCAGAGATCCGACTATAGTTGTTTTAGTAGACCAGGAATAAATACAATTTGCCATCTTTTAAAATAAAGTGACAAAGTTCAGACTTTTGAGCTTGTTCTTTCTAGGGACATGTGAAATGTGTCATACCATTTTTCTACACTGCATCGCAAGTACCAACTCCTTACCTAAGAGAGAGAGTTCTGGCTTTAGTACAATTAAGTGAAAACTGAATGATTGTATTTATCCTTTTATTTTTTTTAAGAGTTCAGAGACAGGCTTTAAAAAAAATTAATGAAATAAAGTGCATGCGTTTAAATTCACAGGTCTCTGACTTTTCACCAATGCTTCTGTACACCTGTGTAAACATTACTTCAGTTAAGATATAAAATGTTTCCAACCCCCTTCCCCAAGGTACAGGGAATGTTGTGGAAGAGCCAGTGGAAAGAGTAGTGCTGTGAAGTGCTCTCTTCTGGCCATAACATGGGCAATGCACTCATGAACTCACAGTAGCTGTGGATATCTGCACAAAATGAAGCTAGTAAATTTCCAGCATGGATAGGATGGGGCTCCTGAGCTCTATCCCTAACTGGGGAGCTGTTGGCAGTTGATGGCTGCTAGAGGAGGGAGAGTCATTGTTCTCTGGGGCAAGGGGGTGGCTACTGGTAGGTAGCTCATGGTCCAGTGGATGGCTCCACAGCCATGTGTATAAGGGCAGCACTATTTGAACTCAGTGGGCGATTAAAGGGGAGGGGCATGAAATTGGGAATGTGTTGCTGACAGGCCCAGGGCAGAGCTGAAGAAGGGGAGTGAGAGGGTGGATATGACCAAAAGACATTGTATTGTATACGTGTATGCAATTCCCAAAGAATAACTAAAAAGTACTCTGTGTGTGTGTGTGTGTAATGTAGAATGTTTCTATCACCACACAAAGCTGCCTCATATTCCCTAGCAGTGAACATATTGTTGACTAGAACTGCTTTAAATGTGTAATTTAATAAATAATGCTAAAGAAAGAAACTAAATGTATACTGTAATGCACAAACCTGCTGTCTTTACAAATAGGTTGTTCTGGTGACTGACGGCTGTCTTGGCATTGGTAGGGGATCACTGCGACATTCTCTAGCTACTCAAAATCAAAGGAGTGAGAGCAACAGATTCCCACTCCCTTTTCCCTTCCCATCTAAGTTATACATCATGTGCATGGCAAACTTGGAAGAGGTAAGACCTTTTACTAAGCTTATTTTTAGTTTGACTAGCTAAATTTTAGGACTCAAGTTTCTTTTTTTATATGTTTGATTAGTACTATATGTACTTTACAAAGTCTCCTTGTCGAAAATACTGTGGCATTTCAGTGTTACCAACTCAAGAGTGTTGCTGGAGTTGTCTTTATTCCTGCTGGTGGATTGTGAAGGATTGAGACGTTCTTTCGGTGTTAGTTATTTCCCTTATTTGGAAATTCTTATATCCATTCCACTAGAAATGTTGAAAGAGTATGTATACTTGATTTTTTTTCATAAAGTAGTAATATTCTGATACATGTTATATTAAACACTTTATTTCCTGGTTTTTCCATTTATTTAGGAATGTTACTTAACTTTTCTCCACATTAGTTTTTTTCCCTCTGTAAACTAGATAGATAATGGCTCTTACCAACAATGTCAGAAACACTCTGGAGGCAGCATACTATGTAAATAATAACTGATCTACTCTGGGAATCTTTATAATTCTACTTCTGTATTAAATGGGTCTACTGAAGCATTTTTTGAGTTAACTTTGCTTTTCAGTAGCCTTGAGTCAAATTGTTGTAGTTATTTCTCATATTGTATGTGAAGAAAACCATCTCATTTATTTACTACCCATGTTATGATGGCTGTAACCTTGTGTACTGAGAGTAATCTGGTAATTTGGGCCACTTTAAAGGGGTCACCTCTTTTGCTTTGTAGCTTCAGAGCACTGATTCCTTAGAATGCCTTGAACGACTCATAGACTTAAACAATGGTGAAGGGCAAATTTTTACTATTGATGGCCCCTTGTGCTTGAAAAATGTACAGTCTATGTTTGGGTGAGTATATGCTTAAAGCTTCTTCACCTCTTTTATATATATAATCCAGTAGTATAATTTGACATCCAGGAGGAACATCTGTTTTATTGCTGATTGTGTGATTTAATTTTTCCAAGGTTGCCTATATCTTAGATGAAATGATTGGTAGTAGCTGTTTTAAAAGTTCACTTGTTTTTATTTTTCTTTTATTTTCTTTTATTATTTTTATTTTATGTGTACGTGTGTATTGCCTGCAGGTAGGTAAGTGCACCCATGTCATGCAATGAATACCCGCAGAGGACATATTCTAGAGGCTGTCAGATCCCCTGAAACTGGAGTTATGGACAGTTGTTAGCTGCCATGAGGGTACTGGGATTCAAACCTGGGTCTTCTGCAAGAATAGTCAGTGTTCTTAACCGCTGAACCATCTCTCCTTCCCCGAAAGTTCACTTATTTTTAAATTAAGCATGACTAAATCTGTAATGCCTATAAAACTGACTTTCTAATGATTCCTCAGCAGTTTCAAAGGTTAACTCATTTGGGCCTTCTCTGAATTGAAACCTTAACCAAAAAAAATGTCTGCCTGTGTTCTGATCACATTAGTTTTAGAGTCAATGGGAAAGGGAGACAAACTTGGAATCTTATAAAATGTCTTCTATGTGTATCATATTACTGTTCCTTTAACAATCAATCATCATATTCTAGAAAGCTGATAGATCTGGCATATACGCCTTTCCATGCTGTTCTCAAATGTGGCCACTTGACTGCTGATGTACAAGTCTTCCCCAGACCAGAGCCTTTTGTTATAGATGAAGAAATTGATCCTATCCCTAAAGTCATTAACACAGGTAAATTCTTAAAATCTTTCTTCATTTTCCTGTTGTCCTTAACTTGTAACTTGGGACTTTTACTTTCCTCTCTGTCTAGGAAGGTTGAAAATAATTGTTTATTTTAATGCTAAGGTGTTGTTGTCTTCAGCACTTTAAATTGGTAGATGTATTACCTAGAGGGTGGCAGATTATTGCTTTTTTTTTTTTTTTTTTTTTCTTTAGACAGTGTCTCCCTGTAGCCCCAGCTGGCCTAGAACTCACTATGGAGACCAGGTTGGCCTTGATCTCACAGAAATATGCCTGCCTCTGCCTCCCAAGTGCTGGGATTAAAGGCTTGAGCCACTATACCCAGTAATTATTGTTCTTGTATGGTGAGATCTTGAGTTAATCTCCAGTCCTTGATCATTATAATGGTGAGCTACTCAAGTTAAAAATAGTAGCCACGGGCTGGAGAGATGGCTCAGCAGTTAAGAACACTGATTGTTCTTGCAGAAGACCCAGGTTTGAATCCCACATGGCAGAAGACCCACATGGCAGCTAACAACTGTCCGTAACTCCAGTCCCAGGGGATCCGACAGTCTCTTCTGACCTCCGCGGGCATTGCATGATATGGGTGCACTTACTTACATGTAGGCAATACACACATACACATAAAATAAAAATAATAATAAAAAATTTAAAAATAATGGCCACATTGACTAGTAGAAACATTAAGGTGATCTTCAGTCTAATGGTCTCCCAGGTAAGCTATTTTAGCTGAGATGATTTAGCCAGCTGAGATGATTCTTTATAATAGAGATACTGAGAGTAATTACTGTCAGAACTAAGATCGATGAAGAGCTATCTGTAGGCTTGGCTCTATGACTTGCTACTGTGTGACCCTGGAAGTTGCTTCCAATTCTTATTGGCTAGGTATGGGGAATGAACCAGATGGTCTCTAAGCTCTTAATTCTGATACATGAACTGTTCCAACCCTTCTATTTATTTTATGACTAAAAGAAAGTGTTATGTGATAGCCTCCTGCATTCATGTTGATACTATGCTTAGCCCAATTTAGCATCTTGAATTGTGAAAATTACCAGGCAGGAGAGAGGATTATCTTTTATTGGTTGGTGAATTTCCTGAGGGGTAGGTGAATGTCAAAGCTCTTTAAATTGGGCATCATCACTCACTCTTGTTAAAGTGTAGTAGCCTGTAGTAAAACCTAACACTTAGTGGATGCTCAACAGATACTGTCCAGTCAGTAAATGATTAAAATTAAGTGGGCAGTAAATAAATGTTCATTGTTTGGAATGTAGAGATTTTAGTATAAAGGGCTCCGAGCAGGCTTTTTACTTTTGTGCCTTTAGCTTTTGGCTGCCTGGAAGCAAGATACCCATCTTTATTCTTTATGACAGCATATATTCGATTGTACCCAATGTTTCATTGCTTTTAAACCATTAAATTCTACTTTCCTTCTGTCCTTTATGTAAATACTTCTTTTCTTTCCAATATAAACTTTTAGTCTAAAATACTTGTTATAGCATCTATCTAAATCACAGTAAATTGCACTAGGCCTTTTTCTCCTCAGATGAAAGCTGTCAGTTGCGTGTGTTCATTCAGCTGCTACTTGGCTTGGATAGCAGATATCCAGAGATGCACATGTCCTGATGATTTAGAATCATGCACTCAGAATGATTCTGGTCTTTTACAGTTTTGTTGATATGGATGTGTATATACTTAGAAGAAAAATTTTAAAACAACTCAGTAAAAAACTATTAGATGTTTCCTTATGATAGTAAATGAATCTTTTTTTTCAATTTTTCAAAGTTTTTATGTTGATTATGTATTCAAACTTTTTATTAAAAATCTAGTTTGGGGCTAGAGAGATGGCTCAGTGGTTAAGAGTAGTGGCTGTAGAGGACTCTGGTTCAGTTCCCAGCACCCACATGGAAGCTAACAACCATCCACAACTCTAGTTCTAGGGGATCTGGCACCTCTTCTGGTCTCTGTAGGCATTGTACAACATGGGTGCACTTGCATGCATGCAGGTGAAACACTTAAACATATAAAATAAGTAAATCTCAGAGGCTGGAGAGATGGCTCAGAGGTTAAGAGCACTGGTTTCTTTTGCTCTTGCAGTAGACCCAGGTTTGATTTCCAGCACCCATATGGCAGCTAACAACCATCCATAAGTCCAGTTCCAGGGGAATCTGATGCCCTCTTCTGGCTTCTGTGGGCATCACATGCATGTGGTACACTTACATACATACAGGCAAAATACTCATACACAAAAAAGTAAAAATAAATTTTAAAAAGTTTTTTTAGTGTAAATTTTTGTTTAAGGTTTTCATAAAATACTTTTGATCTGTAACATAGCTGCTCTAAAGGGGAATAATCATATCATATTGGTCTTCTAAAGAATGTAGTTTTGAGGGGTTGAAGAGATGGTTCCACAGTTAAGAGCACTGACTGCTCATGCACAGGACCTGAGTTTGGTTTCCAGCACCCAAATGGTAGCTAACAACCATCTGTAACTCCAGTTCCAGGAGATCAGGTGCCCTCTTCTGACCCCTGTGGGCATTACATGACACAAGTGCATTTACATACATGCAGGCAATACATTCATACACATAAAATAAAAAATAATAAATAAATTTTTTTGGTCTTTTTGAGACAGGGTCTCCCTTGTAGCCCCAACTGGCCTGGAGCTCACTATGTAGACCAGGCTGACCTTGAACTCACAGATCTGCCTGCCTCTGCCTCCCGAGTGTTGGGATTAAAGGGATGTGCCACCACACCCAGCATAATAAAATATGTTTTTTAAATGTGTTTCTTTTTCAAGAAAACATTCTTTTTCAATGTGGTTGTGATATAGTATGTGTGTGTTGTGTATGTAGGAGTATACAGGTGCATGTAGAGGCTGGAGGAAGACATCAGTATCTTTTCTATCACTCTCTATTTTATTGCCTTGAAACAGGGTCCCTTTCCAAACCAGAAGCTCACCATTTCACTGGCTAGTCAGCAAGCTCCCAGAATCTGTCAGAGACCCCCAATGCTGGGGTTTTAAGCATGTGTAGGCCTGCACACTTTCTTTTATGTGGGTGCTGGGAATTCAAACTCTTATCTCTCTACCCCAAAGGAACATTGGTTTGGTTTGGTTCGGTTCAGTTCGGTTTGGTTTGGTTTGGTTTGGTTCGGTTCAGTTTGGTTCCATTCAGTTCTGTTCAGTTTAAGACAAGGTCTCTGTACAGCCCTGGCTGGCCTAGAATGCATAAAGCTACTACCTCTGTCTCCTGAGTAACAGGATTAAAGATGTGTGCCACCACACCTGGCCCAAAGAAGTGTTCTTAATGCAATGGCTCTACTTTCCAAAGAAGGCTGAGTAAAGTTGTAGGTGCTTGATTTTATTGCTTCCTGTAACCTTACTATCCTTGACTGTGCAGAGAGTTTTAACCTTTAAGCTTTTGCCTTGGCTGAGGTCCTAGCCTTATAAAAATAAAATTTACCTAATTTTGTCATATAACATAATTAAAGGATAATAACTATTTTTTGAGCTTTTTAGAATGAAAATTATTAATCATTCTCAGAGAAGTTTAACAACTTTCTCTGCTGTCATATATGAAATCTCCATCTAAAATAGTGTTTGTAAATTCTAATACATAGAAAATTAATATACTTTCCCTAGTGAGAATAATTCTATGTTGATTCCTTCCTTACAGATTTGGAAATAGTAGGATTTATTGACATAGCTGATATTTCAAGTCCCCCAGTTTTGTCCAGGCATTTGGTATTACCTATAGCACTTAACAAAGGTGAGTTCTCTTCCTGTACCATTGGTACACATGAAACATCATAAAGTTATTCTTAAACATTAGTAAATTAGCCCATTTCACAGAATTTAAAGGGAAAGCACTGTTAATGAATTGGATTTTAAAAAATGGAATATTATGTCATGTACCAGAAAAGAAAATCTGCTGCCTTAAAACTTTTTGACACATATGTACTGTGTACTGGTTTGCAGATTCACTGTGGAAGGGCTCTTTAGACAATTCTTAGATCCTCATCTAGGCCTTTGTTTGTCCTAATAGAAACATGCTGAGAAAAACAAAGTAGTTATCAGAATGCTTGATACATATGGAAGTCATTTCAGCTTCAATGGGAAGAAATGTCTGCTCTTTGTTCTGCTAGTGCCAAGTATATAGAATGTACTAAATACTATTGAATGAGTTAGTGGGTGACTATAGCCCCCTATGAAACCTCATTACTGCAGATGTACCCCTCTAGGAACTACAAATCCATGTACCCAATTTCAGCATCTATCTGAAGTATGCTAACCTCCAACTTTTTAAAAAAAATTTTTTTTGCGCTAAGCTGGCCATTTACCTTATATTTATCAGCTTATCAGCTGTCTTCAAGAAATATATGCAGTTAGTCAAACTTCCACATATTGAATAATATGTTATCTCAGTTGCAGTGATAGATATCACATAAGCACTCAATCACACACTTACAGGAAGAATCATTTTGTTGTTTTATTTCACTATGTCTTAGTTTAGTTTTTGAGAGCGTCTCACTCTGTACCCTGAGTTGGCCTGGAACTAATAACAATCTGCTTGCTTTAGCCTCCTTACTGCTAAGATTATAGGCATGACTGTGTCCAGCTCACAAGCAGAGTCGATACTCACCTACAGACACCTTATTGTGATTATTGTGTTTAGTGGGTAAACCTCTTCAGAGGATGGTGTGATAAGAATAGGAGGTAGGAATTGGCTAGGCAGCTAGGGTAAAAAGACCCCGAAGAAAAGTAGCCAGTTTCTTGGCTAAAAGTCAAAATGTCCTTGGGCCTCTTAGCAACATACTCTGTTCCAAAGGCCAAAAATGTCAAAAAGTATTTGGGAGCTTGTATCTAATCCTTAAAAGATTTTAAAAGATTTTAGGGTTACCTCTTCGGAGGGGGGAATGTTAGAGTAGCCAAAAGCCCCATAAAAATAAATAAATCAAAGAAGAAAAAAAAAAAGAAAATGATTTTTATGTGGATATTGGAAAACTGGGATAAGTTTTTCCACCTTGATATAATATTCCTTTACAACTTCATATATTTTCCCTTCAAGGCAAGAAACAGTAAAGCGTATGACTGGGCTTTGTTTGGGGTTTTTATAACTAATCCCAGACTAACCTGTTTTACAGAGGGTGATGAGATGGGTACTGGCATCACTGATGACAATGAAGATGAAAATTCAGCCAATCAAATTGCAGGCAAAATCCCCAACTTCTGTGTTCTGCTCCATGGCAGCCTGAAAGTGGAAGGAATGGTAGCCATTGTTCAGTTGGGGTAGGGAACTTGTTTGTATTTGGCTGACTCAAAGGGAAACTAGGTGAAATAGTTGACATTTTTCTTCCCACCTGCCATTGCCTTCTGAGACAGGGTCTCCCTGTAGCCCCAGCTGGCTAGAACTTACTATGTGGACCAGGCTGGCCTTAATCTTACAGAGATCCACCCACCTCTGCCTCCCAAGTGCTGGGATTAAAGGTATGTGCCAGCATGCCTGGCTTGCCTTCTATTCTTTAAGACCTTCTAGCTTTTATGTTCTCTGCAGTCATGAAATCTACAAAGCTACCCATTACTTTTCCTATAAAACCTATTATAGGAAAAGAGGTGATTAATTACCTTCTGTGTATCACCTGGGATTGACAGATTAAAAAAAAAAAATCAAAAAGTTAAGATTAACCACAGGAAGCATAGTTTCATCTCTAGCTGGTCCAAAAAGAATGTAGTTCTTTTTTTTATTTTTAATTATGTGTGTATGTCTGTGCATGTGAGTACACGTTTCCACAGAGGCCAGAGGTATTGGATCCCCTGCAACTAGAGTTGCCGGAGGTGTGAGCTGCTGTGTGTGGGTTCTGGGAACTGAACTCCAGTCCCCTGCAAGAGCAGCCAGTGCTCTTGGCACCCAAGCTGTGGCTGGCTCTGAGTATGAGAATCACCTGAGGCCTTTTCAGTAACTGAGTATGGAGTGTTTCTTAGCTTGTTGCAAGGGCTTGCCTGTAGTGCTACTCTGATTCCACAGGCAGCTACAAGGACCTGTAGGCTGAAGCTTTTATTCCTCATCACCCTTGCTGCTGATTGCAGCCCTTTGGCATTTTTTTTTTTCTCTTTTAAAATTCCTTTCTGTTTCCAAATATATATATAAAATTTTTCTAAATAAAGTAAGTATTCCAGAGGAATGGCAATATTCGAGGACAATTAAATGCATTTTCAGGGTTAATATTTGGCTTTGGTTAAAAGTAATGTGCCTGATTTAAAAACTGAAGCCTGTCTCAAAAGCAGAACTTAGAATAATTTAACTTGTCATTCCTAGGCTTGATGTTCTGATCTTCTGTCTTCTCTCCATCCAGTCCTGAATGGCATGGAATGCTCTACTCCCAGGCTGACAGCAAGAAGAAATCAAACCTCATGATGTCACTCTTTGAGCCTGGCCCAGAACCTCTCCCATGGCTAGGGAAAATGGCACAGTTGGGTCCTATTTCAGGTATAACCCAAACTGGATTTTACTTCTCTTGACATTGTTTTCTCTCTGCCATTTTGAATGTCTGAATGTTGTTGGAACCCTCCTGAGCTCCCTTATCTGGTGTTGGGCGAGAATGGAGAGGACCTCAAAAAATGTGTGAGGCTTGAACTCAGCTTTCTTAGCTCAGTGGAAACATCTGTATTGATTAAAACGCCATTGTACTCAGCCTCCAGCTTTGTACTTACCCTTGACCCATTTGAGTCTATTTCAATTTCAGGGACAGCTACCATCTATTCTGGGCCATATCTAGAGGATAAAACAGGAAGCTGAGGTTATTCAAAGTCTCATAAAAAGTGAACTGATCAACAAAGTGCATGGTGTCAGGTCAGCCAAGAGGATGTGGTGATCAGATCAGCTCTGTGACTCAAGAACTTCACAGGGCAGAAACATGCTAGCTGAGTTTTTAAAAGGAGCTTACTGAGCTGATGAAGGAAGAAAAGAATTCCAGGACAAACAGAATAGTTGTGGGAAGGAAAGGGTCTGGAGCACAGTGTGAGCATGGCATAGGAGGAGGGGCAGGTGGGCTGCAGCTAGAGTAAAACTGGCCTCCCCTGCAATATGACCTTTCTGCAGATGCTTGAAAGCCACTGCCAAGGAGTAATGTGTTCAGCTGCTTCTGGCTGCTAGAACAGTGATGATAGCAGTTAAGAGACTATTCAGATGCTGGTGTTCCTGGAGTTGTGCAGTATGGCCCTAATCCAGCTGAGGAATTAAAAAAAAATTTTTTTTCCTCCAGGGCTGGAAATGTAGCTCAGTTGGTCAAGCGCTTGCCTGGTATGCACAAACCCTGGATTTGATCCCAGTACTTGGAAGGTAGAGGCAGAAAGATATGAAGTTTAAGAGCATTCAAGACCAACCCTGTTTGGGGTTGGGTAGGCAGGGAAGAGGCTAGAAAAGAAAAAGAAAAAAAATTGCATCCCACTGTGGAATGTAGCTTTGAAAAGACAGGGAGGGCATCCTGCAGTTAACATCCTATAGATGTTGGTACAGTAGACCTGGAGATGTGAAGACAATAGCTGGAAAGAACAGAGCAGGGGCTGTGTAAAAGATACTTAACAGTGTTTGGATATAAAGAAAAGCCCAAGTTTCTGGCTTGGGCTACATGGTGAACAGTAGTGTATCAGTTGAAAGCAGATAGAAGAGTAGATTTGGGAAGAACATATTTTGTGGATGTTGAGATTGTACCTGTGAAATACAGAGGGATGTGTGACTGTCAGAATCAAGTTCAGAGAGTGAGCAGAGTTGATGATAGAACATGTAGTTATGGGGCTGGAGAGATGACTCAGTGGCTAAGAGCACTGGCTACTCTTGCAGAGGACCCGGGTTCAATTCCCAGCACCTCCATGGTGGCTAACAGCCTTCCATTTCTAGGAATCCGACACTCTGGTCTAACCTCTGGAGGCAGTGCACGATACAGGTGCACTTACATGCAGGCAACACTCTCATACACATAATAAATAAAATTTAAGGTAAAAAGAACTTGTAATTATAAGCATGTCGTTGGTAGCTACAAAGGTAACATTGAAGGAGGTTGCTTAGGGCAGTAGCTCACAAATTGAGTTTTTAGGTATAAAAATCAACCTGTTTAGAAATTCTGTTTCCTAGGCCCCAACTGTAGAGATTTCCATTCAAACAGTAAACACCAAACTGGCCCATTGCCTATTTTTCTGTTGGTGGTGTTCTTCATTTCTCTGTGTTCTTCTTTTCAGTGGGAATAATGAGACCTGACATTTATTGAACTTGTTTGTATCAAGCATGGTGCAGTTTACCATTACATTTGATGAGACTGGAATTGGCATTCGATAACATGATAACTAAGACGACTTTATTGAGGGAGTGTAGTGGTCCTCTTCTTATCACTGTGACAGAATACCTGACAGAAGCAACTTAAGGGAAGAGAGGTTTATTTGGGGGATCTAGTCCATCATGATGAGTATGGTAGCCAGAGTTCCAGACATCTGTGGCACTGGGAGTTTAAGGCACACCTTCTTCCATCTCCATGGATCAGGAAGTAGAGTGTTCAGGCTCGTGGGGCTGGCCTATAACCCTAAAGTCCCACCCCTAGAGAGCCTAAGCTAGGCCCCATGTCCAAAAGTTCCACAGCCTCCCAAAATAGTACCACCAGCTGGGGACCAGGTGCTCAAACACATGCGCTACTGGGAACGTTTCGCATTCAGACCCTAACAGGAAGTTTGTATGAAGTGCATGATACACAATAGACACCTACTGGCAGACGCTTTTCATTGCTTTCAAAGCAGAACATGTACAACAGTACTACATTTTTTTATATCTTTTCTAGTTCTGTCCTAGAGAGAGTCACATGTTTCTTTTGGTATTCACCTACATCCTTTTTTTTTTAAAGACTAATTATTCTTTATAAGTTCCTTAAAGTCAGAAAAATACCTCCTCTAGGCACAGTTCCTAGCGCTCTCATGTTATATACTGGGCTCTTACTATAGGTAATGAAAAAGTGAGTGGGGATGGGAGAGCAGTCCAGGCAAGGGGAGTAATGGGAAGTTGGAAATGAGGATATTATGTGGGACTAGACTGGCAGGACTTCAGCCTGACTAAAAAGGCTTATATATTGATAAGTATTAATAGAAATATGTCTGAAAAGTTGGGGCAGTATTTTTAGTGGAGTTATGCACAGTTGATGGAAGTACTCTGGTCCAGTAGCAAGGTGTTGGGTTTGTTTGAGGGTTTTGTTTCTGATTTTTTTTTAAAGCTAGATCCATTTAGCCCAGACTAACCTTGAGCTCACAGCAGTCTTCCTGCATTAACCTCCCAAGTGTTGGGTTTACATGTGCGAGTTACCATGCCTGAAGGTGTTTTGATTAATGACCAAGTCAATAGTAGAGAGCAAGCTCAGTTAGACAAACTGGCTTAATTCTAGTTTTCAACATTAATATTTGGGCAAGGAACTTAAGCTTCCAGAACTGGTTGGAAAGATCCCTGCTCTGTCTGGGCTAAACCATGGTAATAGAAAAATAAAAAGAGCCATTAGATATAACTGTGCTTTGTAAATTTGTGGCAGTTTCGTTGACTTGGGAAGCAGGTACTGAAGACTCAAACCTTGCTGATCCACATAGCTATAAAACTGCCATAGCTTTAGTAAGCCATGATGAGTGCTCTTCATAAGTTGAAGGTGTTTCTTCTATAATTTATTTTTTTTTTAAATTTTATGTGTATGAGTGTAGTCCACATGTAAGTGCACCCACGTCGTGCAGTGCCCTCAGAAGTCAGAAGAGGGCACCAGATCCCCTGGATCTGGAGTGACAGATAGTTATTAGCCACCATGTGGGTACTGGGAATCAAACCCAGGTCCTCTGCAAGAGCAGCCAGTACCCTTAATCACTGAGCCATCTCTCCAGCCCTATAATTTACTTTTTAAAATTTTACATATATATGGTGTATGTGTGTTGAGAGAGGCTTTCATACTGTAACCCAGGCTGGCTCTCATACTATAACTCAGGCTGCCCATGAACTCAGGACAGTCATGCCTCAATCTCCTAGCGCTGGGATTGCCACCCAACCTAACTTCCTTTTTCTCTTTTTTTCTTTCTTTTTTCTTTTTTTTTTTAATGTCTAGACATACACTGTCTGGCCACATGAGGCTATTTAAGTTAAATTAAATTAAAAATTGAGTTCCATATGTCAAGTGTTCAGCTTGTGATGACCATATTAGCACAAATGTAGGGCATTTCCAGTGCCACAGAGAATTTGGCTGAAGAGTTCTGGGCTAGAATACATAGAACTGTGGTATGTATGTTTATAAATAATGTGTTTTTATAGTGAATGTGTTTTGCCCTCTCTGGCCCTAATATATAAAGCAGGTATATGAAGCTAATTACTTTAAAAACATTAAGCCTTTTCACATTCCTAGATCTCTCCTACATAAGTGGCTTTCTATTGAGAACAGGTTCTCCAGTCTGACTGAGTTAATGTATTTTCTTAATTAATGATGGAGTGGTTCAAAATGCTGCTAGGCTAATTGGAAATGTAACTGAGTTTGTCAGCTTTCATTTTCAAAATGTCTTTTTCTTTAAGATGCTAAAGAAAACCCTTATGGTGAGGACGACAATAAAAGCCCATTCCCCCTGCAACCCAAAAACAAGCGCAGTTATGCCCAGAATGTGACTGTCTGGATCAAACCTAGTGGCCTGCAGGTACAAATACTATTCACATTGCTTTCCACTGGGGGCAGGAGGAGGCGTTTGGGTGGGCAGGCAAACCAACCTTTGATTTGATTTCCTTTCCTTTGATACTGTGTAATCCATTTACTTCTAATGTCTGTCATTATTTCCCAAAGAGATTTGAGATGGCCCACAGTAAGACGCATATATGACAAAATCATTTTTTACAAGATTTAGAGCAATGACAAACCTAGAGAGAGAATGGAAACAATTGTGCCTGAAACTAGAGGCAAAATGATAATTGTATTTGTATTTGAGGAGTTTGGTTCTGAGCTTCCTACTAAAGTCAAAGATGAAGCAAATGCCTTGTATAGCTTTTTTAAAAAAAAATTCTTCCAGAGAGATGTACTTTCCCAGTATTGAGTTTTTAAAAAATATGTTTTGTATTCTTTGAGAATTTCATACATGTACACAATGTCATATATATATATATATATATACACACACACAATGTCTTTTGATCATATCCACACCCCATTCCCCCTCTGAAAGTCTTTTTTTTTTTTTTTTTGGAGCTGAGGACTGAACCCAGGGCCTTGTGCTTGCTAGGCAAGCACTCTACCACTGAGCTAAATCCCCAACCCCCCCGCCAAGTCTTTACATGATAAGGCAGTGGGGTTTTTGGTTGTTGTTTTGTTTTGTTTATGAAGCAGAGTTGCAATTTAATAATTTAATATAGGCTTAAGCAGGACAGTTAAAAGAAAGGTGTCAGAAAGAAAGACATGCCCAAGAGCATAGGTATGGTCTTCTCTAAGAGAGTCACAAAAAGCAAAACATACCCAAGTATGTGTACAGCTCCTTAGAGGAGAGCTAACGACAGTTCAAAAAGATGTCTAAGTCTTCATCTGGTTATTTCTTCTATCCCTACAGTAAAACACGGTTTCTAATTCCACGAAAACACTTTCATAGGAAGCTAATGTTATCAAGAAATGCTGCATTCAGGCAAGGTACTCGGGGACCTTTCTCCTTCCATTGACTAGTCACTTATTCCTGTTTGTAACAATCACTTAGGAAACCCCTTTTTTCCTTTGAGCACCTTTTTACACTTTTTCTATCAGCTACTCTAACCTCAGCAAGGTGAGAGGCAGCATTCAGGCAGTAAAGTAGCTTGCTGACTGCTTGGGCTCTGAGCCCTTTCCTAGAAACTGAACCAATCTTGCACAGACTAAGGAAAAATCAGAGTCTCTTTCCTCATTCATCCCTGGCCCAAACACTTCTTTGTTAGAAGGATAATAAAATTGTTTTGGCCGGGGGTATGTTTTTGTTTCCCTTTTTAAATTAGTCTTATTATGTCTGTGTGTATTGCCTGCTTGCCTGTAAGTGCACCCATGTTGTGTAATGCCCAAGGTCAGAAGAGGGCGCCCTTATTTACCTTTTTAAAAAATATTTATGTATGGGACTGGAGAGATGGCTCAGTGGCTAAGCGCACTTGCTGCTCTTGCAAAGGACCCAGGTTCAATTCCCAGCACCCACATTGTGGCTGACAGCCATCTGTAACTCCAATTCCAGGGGATCTAGCACCCTCTTCTGACCTCCAAAGGCATTGCATGACATGGGTGCACCTACCTACATGCAGGCAGTACACTCATATACATAAAATAAAAATAAAATATTTTTTAGTAGCCAGGCGTGGTGGTGCACACCTTTAATCCTAGCACTTGGGAGGCAGAGGCAGGTGGATCTTTGTGAGTTCAAGGCCATCCTGGTCTACATAGTGAGTTCCAGGACAGCTGGGGCTACAGGGAGACCCTATCTCAAAAAGACAAAAAAAAAATTTTTTTAATTATGTATTTATTTATGCATATGTGTGTATGCATTCATCAGTATTTCTAGTTCCAAACAAGAAAACCCTATGCCTGTCACTATATTCCTTCTCCTTGCTGACAACCACTAATCTGCTTTTTTGTCTCTGGATTGCCTAGTATTTCATGGAAACTGAATGATACAATTTGTGACCTTTTTGTGTTTGGCTGAATAATGTTTTCAAGATTTGTGTTGGAGCCATTTTATGACTGAATGATACTCCACTGTATAAATGTGTCACATTTTTTTCATTCATTCCATTGATAGATGTTTGGGTTGTTTCTGTCTTTGGCTGTTGTAAATAATGCTGTTATGAACATTCATGTACAAGTTTTTTAACACCTAAGCAGAGCAGATGTTGATTTATCATGAGAAGAAAAGAACCCCCTAGAGCAGGAAGAATGGCCACTTTCAGTACTTTGTACATCCTTAGGAGCGGGATTGCTGGGTCTTCAGGACGTCTGTATTTAACTCATTGAGCAACTGCCACCTTCTCTAGAGTGGCAGCACTATTTTACATTCCCACCAGCAGTGTTAGGAGTGTTCCAGTTTCTACATCCTCATCAATACTGTTTTTTCGTAATTAGCTATTGTAGAGGGTACGAAATGCTGTATTGTGGTGGTTTTGATTTTGTATCCCTAACAACTAGTAATATAGTTCATCCATTCATGTGCTTACTGATTGCAGCTTTAGAGGACTGTCCACTTAAGTCCTCTGTCCTTTTTTGAAATGGATTGTCATTTGGTTCTTTATTTAGACCCTTAGCAGATACATGATTTGCCATTTTTCTCCATTCTGTGAGTTGCATTTCACATATTTCATACTGCATTCTTTGTTGCACTTTTAACTTTATATTGAATTTTTGTGTATTTCATACAGAAAATCATTGGCACCCCCTACACACACACACACACACACACACTGGAGTTCATACATTCTGTTGTGTTAAGGCCTATCATGTAAAGTTAGTGTCCCCAGATGTCCCTCAGTGCAAGTTCATCCACTGGGCTCTAGTCAGCCTATCTAGAGTCCCTCCCTTTAAGAAGATCAGCTCTTCCTCACCCAGCAATAATCAGCTGCCAATAATTCATCTAAGCTTGGGGCTTGCTGCTCATTTCCACACTTCTGTGCTGGGTTTTTGTCTGCTTAAGTTTGCATGGGTCTTGTGTTGCACAAAATTTTTTATTTTTGTTGTTTGGTATAATAACTAAGAGATCATTGCCAAATCTAAGATCCTGAAGATTTGCCTGTTTGTGAGACATTATAGTTTAGGCTCATGTATTTAGATTTCTGATCCATTTTGAGTTAGCTTTTTATACATACTGTGCGTTACATGTCCAACTTCATTCTTTTGCATTCATTAAATTATCTCAATACCAGTTATTTATTCTTTCCCTATCAGTGGGCTAGCCATGGATGTCTGGGTGTACTGGGTCTATTTTTGTGAGACAACTGATTTAATCCCATCAAGATTTTTAAAGGAAGGTGTTCACCAGAGTTGAACAGAACACTAACATCAACTCAAAAGGAATCTTTATCTTGATATCTGTCCCCATTTTTATGTCTTTAAAACTGTTGATTTTTTTTCCCCATTTTTAATATGGAATTCTATTTTTAATATTTATTATTTTTATGTGTATACGTGTATTGCCTGCATGTAGGTAAGTGCACCCGTGTAATGCAATGCCCATGGAGGACAGAGGCCATCGGATCCCTTGGAACTGGAGTTACTGACAGTTGTTAGCTGCCATGTAGGTGCTGAGATTCGAACCTGGGTCTTCTGCAAGAACAGCGTTCTTAACTGCTGAGCCATCTCTCCAGCCCCATAACATGGAATTCTAATGTTGAATTATTTTTACCTTTCATAGACGGATGTACAGAAGATTTTAAGAAATGCAAGGAAGCTCCCTGAAAAAACACAGACATTCTATAAGGTGAGACTGTCAGAATTATAGAGAGATTCTATGAAGTGAGACTGTCAGAATTACAGATAGATTCTATAAGTTGAGACTGTCAGAATTACAAATAGGCCTTATATCCATGTTCACAGTAGTATGGGGGGGATGTGGCAGTGTGAACAGGCACAGGGATTAGAATTTAGGCCTCAGTTTTTCCATCAGTAATGTTAGAAGTGAAAGGTCTGGTCCTGCTTTATAGTCAGTACAGCTGGAAGTGCTTGATGGCCTAGTCCTGTGTGGTGGGAGGCTCCTGTTGAGTAGCCCAAGCAAGCAGTTAGAGATGTGGGTCACAGCCCTGGAAAACACACACACACACACACACACACACACACACACACACACGTACACACGTGGAAAACATACACACCCCCCACCCCACATGGGTATCAAGGCCAATCCAGGCAAGTACTGCATGTGATTCCTGAGATGGAGAATTGCCCCCAAACATTTATTGCTTCCAGGAGTGAAGTTCCAGTGGTGAGTTAGCAAACGAATGGCCCCTAATCATGCCTAGCTAATCCTGAACCACTTGTGGAGGGAATAAAGTAGCAAGGGAGGGGTAGAGTTGAGGGCATTTAGTCTTAACTCTTGTTTCCCCCTTGTCCTTCTGGGGTTTGGCTGAATTAGATTAAGTGCAGTGTGAGATGTGTCCTAGCCTGCTGATTTTTAAAATATATTGCACAGTCAGCCTTAGGCTAGCACCTCTTCTGAGAACATACTACTTTGCCTGGGTGTTATTACCTTTATCACTATTGTCTTCAAACCTAATTACCAGCAATCTGGGGAAATCAGGAGAAATACAAAGCTTTAATCAGGGTTCAACCAGAGCGCTTCTCAGCCAGCCAGACCTCCCCAGATCTCCAAGTCCATAATCTACACAGGCCTTTGCTCTCTGCTCATCTCAGTCCCAGTCTCTGCAGTTTCTACACACACCTGCTGTAGTCTGTTCCAGATGGACTATGTGTACTGTGGCCTTCTGAAGATAGAGAGGTGGTCATTTATCTTTCCTGGTTTTGTATGACCATCACTACGCATGAGAAGTAGAAAGGGCCTCTGGAAAGTGGATGAGGAAGGCATTTTCCTCACTTTGTAAACAAGGCCTCTGAGACCAGAGAGGCTTCTGCTTGACCACTGAGTGGCTGATGGGGCACTTCATGTTTCTCTGATCTGACTCTTCTATATGTCATTCACTCCAAGTCATCAGGGCAGCACCTTGTTAAGAGTCCTGAGATTTGGAGCAAGCCTTTCCCACGCCTGAATATTGGAGAAACTAAGCCTCCCGAGAGTGAATGCTGTATGCAAAGTGCTTACCACATTTGACATAATTGCACTTTAACTGTGGTCAGTCAGCTCATTGGCTAATCTAGACGCTGGGCACACTCTAGAAACCATATGCCAGTTATGCCATCACACTATTCTTAGTTTATACAAAAATGCTTCCTAAAAGCTGAGAATCAAAAAGAACTTACTTTGAGTACTCAGAAGTGTGTGATGAGACACATTTCAGAACATTTGTCTGTTTCAGGAGCTGAACCGTCTACGAAAGGCTGCTCTGGCCTTTGGTTTCCTGGATCTGCTCAAAGGGGTGGCCGACATGCTAGAGAGGGAGTGCACTCTGCTGCCTGACACAGCTCACCCCGATGCAGCATTCCAGCTCACCCACGCAGCCCAGCAGCTCAAGCTGGCCAGCACGGGCACCTCAGAGTATGCTGCTTATGACCATAATATTACACCCCTGCATACAGACTTCTCAGGGAGCAGTACTGAAAGAATGTGATGCTGACTTTTGGAGTCTTCCTTCTCTGTTCATTTCATCTGAAAATTATTTAGAGTGAAAACCTTTCCAGGATGTTCACCTCTTGAACAGCCACCCAAAGGCCTTGCGGCTGCCTCAAAAACAACATTTGCTAGTTTGATGCCTCTGCAACAGTCTGAGAAAGGTCTTAAAGAGTGGTTGGCTAGGACTGTAACTGCAGCTACATGGGACTCAGTCATTAAGCCCAGAAGACATCCTTGCTCCCATGATGGAACAGCTCCTGAGAAGCTTGGACAATTGATGAGGACAGACCTCCCTTGTCTTCCTTGGGAAGCCTGACCAGCAAGGGCTTTCTGACTTCCTCAAACTGACTTTTCTCTAGGCTTATGTCTCAACTAGAAGGACATTTTTAAACTACTGTGCTTAGGATGAGCAGTCAAGACTGTCTGGGGCTTGCTACGTACAAACCCAATTCCACTAAGTTTTAGAACTTTCCTTAGAACTTGTTAAATACAGTGGAACATTAAGGTGATTTCAGTATATTTTGAGCTACAAACTTTTAAACAGCAACCACAAATGTGTAAAATTATTTCTATTCATTTTTTTAATGAAAATGAAGTACTTGATTTTCTATAAAATGATTTCACTTAGAAACAAATAGTCTTTTGGTTTGTTCTGTCACTTGAATAGAATGCAGCATTCAATGTGTCAGATTCCCAAGTAATGAAATTTCTTGGGTTCCATACTGACTTCTGGTCCTAACACTGTTCAAACCAGGTTCTAGCCAGCAGTGCTGTCCCAGTGGCTTTGTGACTGTCCTCAGCACTCCATCAGGTTTCGACCAGAGCAACTGCTTTTGGTTTAACATGCCAAACACAAACAATACTTTGCCTGAACAAAATGCTTTATCTATTTGAAAGTTAGAAAATAATCTTTAAACACAAGTTATTAGTATTTTGATGGTAAATATATTTTAATAGAAATACACAATCTTTCACTTTCTCAGCAACAAAGGGGATCCTAAAAAGCTCTAAGAACATGGGATTTTGCACAAGGATGCAGCACAGTTTGCTGCAAAGCTGACTTGCCCAGTCCCACAGCCAGCTGAAAGAACATTAGAAGTCAATACCAACAATTGTTGACAAGCTGCAGACTTGGAAAATACCCTTCAGTGGTTTATGTCAAACAAGCCAGTTAATGCTGATCAGCTGCTTCAGGTCAAAGTGTCCACCCTGGGCTCAGTGAGGCAGCACCAACTCAAGTTTCCTTTCCCCAAGAGCAGAGGGCATGACAGAGTGGAAAATCACTAGGCCTTAAGCTCTCTTTTCCAAATGTCACTAACTCACTTTCCTTGGTTTACATGGAATGTGATAGAAGAAACTGATGTATTGTACAGTGACCAACATAAGGTCTAGATTGAGCCCCTCCTCTGGTGGGTTTCCTGCAGGAATCCTTATTAAAGGCTCAGCTGGTCATTCCTCACCTCAGGTTCCCTGTGTACAGGGGACTACTGTAGACAGGTTAAAAAAAAAAAAAGAAAAAAAGCAACCTAACAACAGAAAGAAAAAAAAAGGTGACTGAGGTTCAGAAAAGTAGTTTCACCACTCAGAGAAATACACAAGAAAATGGAGTTGGCAAGCCCAGGATACATAGACTGTGTGCACAGCTCAAGACAGTTTGGAGATGTGTAGACTATGTCTGAGCATAGCTCAGAACAGCTTGGAGGTTTGTCTGACCTAATGTTTCCATTTGCTGCATCACCAGCCACTAAATTCCTGCCTGTGTGGCCCACATATCTCTGTTCCCTTCTGACCCCTGCAGCCATTTACATTTGGAACTTATAATCTCAATGTTTTCCAAGCAATGTTCCCCTTCTCCAGTGCTACAGACAGTTCTAATTTAAGTAGGAATGAAGTGATCATGGTGTTCCAAGGTTCTGATTGCTTTCTCTAATCACTGCCTCTTCAACGCCCATGCTGGTAAATGCTCTAGTAATGAATGTTTATAGACCAAAACCCATCAGATGTAAAGTATTCTCCAGCCCCACTCTGACTCAGAAATGTTCTGTCAATGCCCAACTCTACCTGGTTTTCAAAGTCAATGCTACCCCATTGCATAAGTAACCCCTTGAGTACACAATGTAATAGATCCTGCCTGAGCCACTTTGACAACCTTCCATAGAGTAATATAGTTGGGGGGAGGGGTTAGTTTTTAGGTGTTTTTTATTTTGTTTGTTTTGTTTTTTTTCCACAAGCAATATCTGAATAGAACAAACCCCAGCTGGAAGGATGGTCAGTACTTTGTAGGAAACACTTGAGACAATGCCTCTGGTAAGTGAAGAGCAGGCTGGACCTAAGAGGCAGGGCTGAGTCTCATTGTCATAAATTAAATACACAGGAATAAACCTGTTGTTGGGTATCAGGGATCCAAGTCATGCAAGTGCTATGCTAAGGTAATACAGTAGATTAGGAATGTTACTGGGGAAGGGAAGATAGCCTCACTTTAAAAAAACATATCAGTACAAGAAGGTAAAACAGTAAGAATCATAGATTAGGCTCAAACTGGCAAGAAGCTATCTAAATCTCTCTTTAGTGCATCTTTTTCTTTTTTTGTCCATAGCGCCGCCTGCGCTGTTTATAAAGATGACGAAAATTAATATATAATCCTGAAAAATAAAAAAAAAAAAAGCTGATTAGAAATGTTAGTCTTTGTAACTAGAAGTTTTAGGGTGGGATATCTGTCTAGTTTGTTTTCCATACTCCAGAGCACTAAGTTCATTGCAGCTGCTCAAGTACAACTAGAACCCACCAGCAAAGCAATACTGCACTGGAGACACCCAGCCTTCCCCAAGAGCTGATAACTGTATTTTCCCCAAGTTTTATGAAGTTTTCAGCCAAGGATAAAATCTTTGTATAGTGGACATCACCTGAATTTAAATTAGCTTTTTATTATCTTTTAACCCATACCTACAATTATTCATCTGACTGCCCATCTCATTTTTTAGGCATTTTAATGTTTGACGTGGTGGTCAATACAATTCATAACTAAATAGTGGAACAAAAAGTTCAACATTTTTTCTGGTTTTCCCTTTATGTATACAGTGAGTTGCCCAAATCAGAAGTGAAGAAATAACCTCATTTGAAATTCAAACACCATTCAAGAATATGTAGTAAGCAACAAAGGGTATGTGACTCTTCAGAAGCACAGTGCAGCAAGTGAGGAAACAGGATTTCAGAGTCAGAATCAAATCTGAATCCTCCTTGACCACTGAGTAAGTTCTGTAGTTTAGCCTCATCTCCGTTTCCTCATTTGTACAACAGGGATAAAAATACTTTACAGATTTACTGTAAGAAAATGAAATGGCTTGGCTTATAAACATATGCAAGCTGGTTAAGACTTTTAAAATTATGCATGTGAATTCAGAATTTGCATCGTTTTGAATAATAATATATTTATTATAAGAAAATATGCACATAAGATCTTGCAAATGAAACAACAAAAATACAAAGAAAAGAGACTAGGGTCAATCTATATTAAAATATTTCTATCCCCCTTTAAAAATATTTTTGAATGTTTTGCCTGCATGTATGTAATTATATTGCATGTTTGCCTGATGTCCTTGGAGGCCAGAAGAGAGTGTCAGATCCCCTGGAACTAGATCTACAGATTGTTATGAGCTACGATGTAAGTGCTGGGAACTGAACCCAAGTCCTTTGTGAGAGCAATCAGTGCTCTTAACTGCTGAGCCATCTCTCCAGCCCCTCCAACTTTTTTAGTAAGGTATTTTAAGTGTCTTTCCAATATTTATTCTACTTCTCTTTTAATGCATACTTCATAGAGTCTAGATACAGTAATCAATTTTTACAGTAATAGGGGTAAGAAGCTCTTTTAGTGAGTACATTTTACAAATTGAAGCTTACTCTCTTCAAGGTCCAAAACAGAAAACAAGAAATTATAATCTTTTGCCAATGGCCTACACCTATAATGTAGTGCTCTTTAACTATACACCTGCTACAGGCTGACACCCTGAAGGACTCCTAAGGGGCATTAAGTCTCTGCTATATTAGATGACCAAGGCTATCAGGCTTTCTAGCGTCTCAGGCTATTTGTAGTGTTCCTCTCACTGCTTGGAGAGGCCAGCCTCTAAGATGATCCAAATGGTCCCTACTGTCTAGACACTTCGTATCTGGGCAGTCCCAGTCCCTTCTGCACTATACCAGCTGGTCTGGGTAATGGCATACACTTCTGCTGTTAGATTACAGAAGACTCTACAGTTTCTGGTTCTCTAATCACCTACTGTGGGTAAAGCTATGTCAAGAGTGCCACATGGAGAGTTTCTATGACAAGAAACTGAAAGTAGCCACAAGAGTGAGCTCAGAACTAATGCTCCAGACCCTACAAAATCTACAAGTAGAAGCTGAAGTCCCAGGAAACAGTCTGACTAAAATTTCATGAGATATAGACTCAAAATCACCGCTTAAGCTACTTCCTGGTCCTCATGCTTGTGTTGTCAGCTGCTAAATCACAATAATTTGTTACACACTAAGAATATACTGGTATGGTGGCTGCGTCCTTCTGTAGCCAGGAGCTAGACAGCTATGCTTACTAGGACTACTTCGAGTCTTTTGTCAAATATACTGGGGGGGGGGGAGAGAACAAAATCTAAAGTAAAGTGTCCTTAGAGTTAGGAAAGTTTTCAAATAATTTAGGTTTATTTCTTGTTCTCTTTAGTTCCTAGTTTGTAGGAATTAAGGTAGAATTTGTGGTTTTATGCAAGTGTAACTTAACAAGCAGGCTGTCACCATCAACAGGCACTTTCCAACTCCTGGACTGCTCAGAGGTCTTCAACGCCTTCATCCTTCCTTGCCAGCTGTATTAGCACCTCCAACATGTGGATAAGAGTGTGCTACTCCAGTCGAGGGAACATGAGCTCTATTTTACTTCATTAACTTTTTTAAATTTTTGAGACAGGGTCTCACAATGTTGCTCAGGTTGGCCTCAAATTCTGTGCTTAATCAACTGTCCAGCCCCCCAAGTAGGTTAGTACTATGGGTGTGACCACTGTACTAGTGTCCTATTCTGTTGTAAAAGAGTTTATGGACATTGTTTCAGCAAAAAATATCACATATGATATTTTCCCAATACCCTATATATGTGATAAATTCCTAGTGACCAACAATTCAGCTACTGTAGATCTGGGATAAGTTATTTCCAGACATTATTAGCATAGTCCTGTGGTAGGTTCGTTTTTGCAAATAAAATCTCTAATCTCAGCTACTCTTTCAGAAGGAGAGTTCTAATAAGGACTTTGAAAATTCTGAATCATTTAGCTTTACCCTCTAAGAAGTGACAAGAAAAAAAGTATGTGTGTGGAAGCGCCAATACTTACCTAAAAATAACATTATAAGATAAATCTGAAGGAAAAAGGAGAATCTAACTTTGATTTTCACTGGATATGGCAATATAAAACTGAACCTTTCTGTCTCGTTGAATACTGGAATGGACTGGATCACTGAGACAGCTGCAAACAGAAAGGGGAATTTGTCAGAAGCAAATGGAACCAGTACATGAAGCCGTCCAACCCAGGCTCACACTTCCAGTCTGAGACTGCAGGAGATGCTTCCTCCTCTCACACTGCACATCATCAACAGAGTAAGAGGACACTGGACTTCATCTACAAAGTGGAGAAAAGTCCCTACCTGACCCACTCACTCAGTAGCTATCTGAATAAAATGAAGTTACTAACATGACTTCGCTTTGGAAGACTAAAAATACGTAAGGGGCTAAAGAGATGGCTCAGCAGTTAAGAGCACTGGCTGTTCCTGCAAAGGACATGAGTTGGATTCTTAGCACCCACATGATATCTAACAGTCCATAACCCAGTTCCAGGGGTATCTGATGCCCTCTTTTAGCCTCCATAGGCATCAGGGGTGCATACACATACGTGCAGACACACATACACATAAGATAAAATAAATCTTTTAAAAAATATGTATGTACTACAGAGCATGCAGTACATGGCCACCCAGCTTCCACACTTGCAAAACAAGCTCCATGTCCCTGGAGTAGTCAGTGTAAGAAATGTAGGAGGCCATAAGAAAGGGATCCCTGAGCAGCCCAATATCCTATGTCAAACTAGCACTGGAAGAGGCCTCATAAACGACCTGGACACTCCTGGGAGCTACACTCTGAGACCTAGAGTTTCTGAAAATACCTTCTGCCAAACATCCCAGAGGGTATAAGGGAATCCACATAGTGTAACGGAGCCACGTGAGCACCTTCCAATCCATGTCAATGCAGCAAAGCATGTAGAAGGGATACCTATCGAGAGTAAGGAGTTTCAATGTTAAAAGCCACTGCAGGTTCTGAATGCAACCCTAGACTATCATTCAAAAATATGAAAAAACTGTTCTTCCATCAGCAGCAAGTAGCCGCTTCAGAACAGAATTACAATCCTGGGCTAGCTACCTACAAACTCCCATCAGACCACTCTCCAACTCCTCTAAGGATGTGAGCCCTCTTTACTGACAGGTTCA